CGATGGTATGAAGCTGATGGTGGGGGTGAGGATGAAAAGATGAGGATGAAGGGAAGTAAGCATGACAGAAGTATGAGTAGGAGGTGGGTAGGAGGGGGATGGGCTTACCACGTGTTCCCGCGAAGCCTCGCGTGAAACTCACGACCATGGCCGCCAGCAGAATCAAGCGCGGCACCATCGGCGTCATGACGGGGACTCTGGGTGCTCTTCTGCGCCCCACAGGTTCTGATGTAATATAGGGGCCTAAACAATTAGAATAGGGTTCTGGGGAATATGATGCTATACTCATAATAAGGAACCCCCCAGAATAGTATAGGTAATTCTTTAGGCCCCTAAATTATCTCAAGTGGAAAAATTCCTGCGCTAGAGTCCGCTAGGGGCTAAGGGTCTTCAGTCTGAGTGCTGGCATCCGAGAGGCCCCATCTCTTCTTAAGGCTGCGGGTTCTGATTCCGGGTAGTTTCTGAATCTAGACAGTTTATAGAGTTTATAGAATTTATGGAGTTTATGGAAGAGTTTAAAGAACTTACAGAACTTATAGGGATATACAGTTATAAGTCTCTGATCTGAATCAGGGTCTCAAAGCGACTCTGCACCTGGTCCAGCAGCCACAAGGCTACGGCGAGGAAGGGCATGAGTTCTTGATGGAGTTCCCTTAACGGGTTTAGGTTTTTTTTTAAGGGTTTAGGGTTTAGGGTTTAGGGTTTAGGGTTTAGACTTTGGGGCTTAGGCCCGCAGGCTTCGGGTTGAGTATAGGGCTTAGGATTTTGGAGTTGCGCCTTGGGGTGGAATATCGTTTTGGGGGCTTAGGATTGAGGGCTCTGAGCGCTGGGACGATAGTTGTTCGATTTTTCCGGATTGTGGGCAAGACCTTGGAGAGTGCTATTAAGGGTCGCTTGCATGCATTTTTAGGGGGCATATGGAAGATACGGCAAGGTGCCAGAACCAATTTACTATTCTTCCCAGAGCAGCACAGTCTCCTTTAAACCGTGGAAAGCATGGAAAACACGCAAAGCGCGAAAAGCACGGACCTCAATAGTCAAAATATAAGGTTTTGCGGAGTGAAGCTTCGCATAGCAATGCAAGATAAAACAAAATTTTGCGCCAAGGACCTACAACCACGTTGGTGGGACTAATCTAAAGGAGCGGCGATGCAAAGGTCGAGACAGACCCGCCTAGGGAGGACCCTCGTGTTCCCTTCTTCTCATGCTGCCCAAGTCAGAGCAAGGGAGGGAGAGTGGCCGTACTGCCTCCAGAGTAGAAGCAGTAGCAGTAGCAGTAGCATTGTAGCAGTAGCAGTAGCAGCGTAGCCGCATAGCCAGCCAGCGTAGCCGGTAGTCTGGCACTGCGTCATACTTTAACACAAAAAGTGGAGCCAGGCCAGGCAGCAAACATCATTGGGATTTCTCCAGACGGGATGTAGGCCCTGGGCCTGTAGCCGCTGTAGCCATAGCCGTAGCGTAGCCACGCAGGCGACAGCATTGCCCATGTGCCGTGCACTCGCATCGCATTTTGCCATGAGTTGTCAGACCGAAGCATGTCGACGTGCAAGAAGAAAAGATCAAAGTCCGTTCGCTTCATGTGTCAGTCAGTCTGAGTAAGCTCAGTAGGCACATGTGCTTTGTGCAGCATGACTCCTGATGCTGGCAGTTGGCGTTGGTCATTGCTCATTGATCATGATCTCTGAGTGAAGCCAAGTGCAGTGCTACAGCTTACTCCCTTCAGCAAACAGGCCACGAACTTGCTTGATGCTGGAGAGCTTACACTGCTTACAAGAGAAGCTCAACAGTTTCATGTGCCATGTTTTGCTTCAGCATGTCTCATTCTCAATGTGCTTCCGTGGCTCCGGTGGTGCGTGAGGATGCATCCGCTTAGAGCTCCGGGGGACTCGAAAATCACATCCGGAAGCCTTTTTGAGATATGCTGTTCATGGCATGGCATAGCGGCATAGTGACAAGCAGCATGGCATAGCGGATGGAATGAAATGCTGGGACCTCTAGGAGTCTAGGACCCTAGGACCTAGGACTCTAGAATGGAAGTTCCGAGAGTGTGCTGCCGCCACAAAACAGCCGTAGCCGTAGCCGTAGCCTTATGTGGAACCGCTTGCGTGGCAGAAAACGAAAATGGAGAGTCGATCAGTCTTTTCTGTCTTGGGTTTAAGGCTTATCGGCGTATTTGCAGGAGCTTGCGTGTCGTCAGAACGGATTGGTCGTAGCGTCGTAGAGTCGTAGAGCACAATGTAAATGGTTGTCAAAGCGTGGGTTGAACGTGCACACTGTCGGACAGGGACGACTCTCATCAACATGTGATGGCACATGTTGTCACCCTCAAAACCTGCTGATCATGCACATGGGAAGATTTGCTCGGAGACTCGGAGATGCAACTGCACTCACAAACAAAGAGCGCGATGCTGCTCATGCACGTCGGAAGGAGAGAAGGTGTGAGTGTGAGAGTAGGACTGAGTAAGAGAGCAAGGGAGAGTGAAAGTGAGAATGAAAGTGAAAGTCGTCGTCAAACTCACAAACGAGGACCGATTCGACGAGACACGAGACCACCCACAAAGTTGCCAACGGAGCTCCGCACTGTTCCACCACGACCACGACGTGCATTCCAGGCTATGCAAATCGGCAGCAGGCAATGCGACGAGATAGCACAAACATGGAACCAGCATAATGCCATTCAGAGTCGGGTCAGAATCGGGCGCCCCTTCACTGCTGCCAGCTGCCAGCGGAATCTGACTCCATGAACAACGAGGTTAGGTCACATTTATTTCAGATTTTTGGGCATTCTACCTAGAGTCTCTAGAGCTCTTGTGATATTTTCATGAATCCATATAGTTCCTATGTCCTATGTATTTTACAAGGAATCGCATTTTTTGTGCATTTTACCTAGAGCTTGTGTGATATTTGAATAAATCAATCCAGTTCCTATGTAAATATCAAGGAATCACATTTTTTCTACATTTTTTTGCATTTTACCTAGAGCTTTTGTGATATTTGAATGAATCCATCCAGTTCCTAGGTAAATGCCAAGGAATCACATTTTTTTCCACATTTTTTTTGCATTTTACCTAGAGCTTTCTACACATTATGAAGCGAACCCAATGATTTTCTGGCGAGTCACATTTTTTTCGCATTTTGGATCACATTTGCCGGTCCAGGTACATTTTTCTGCGCTATCCAGGGCACATCGTTTGGACTCAGATTTTACATTTGAATTAATCCAGGAATATGGACCTGTAGTAGAGATTGCCGGACTTAATCCTATCGGGAGCATGCCCCTCGCCGGCTAAGCTTCGCGAGCTCTCGATCTCAAACCACACCGCCGAAGGTCCAGTAGCAGAGGCTCTACAGGCAATTCGGGTCGACTTAGCTGCTCTACCCGAGCACTTACTCGGTGTCAGAGCACGCAGAGCGGTCAACGATGTCCTCAGTCATAGATGCCTGGTCTGTAACTTCTGGACGCCAGATCGCACCAAGGTCAAGTCGCACTTTCGTCAAGCTCATCCACAGGACTGGCGACGCCTTCACGCCTCGACAGCCAAGCTCTGTGCCGGGTACTCCTTCCAGCTCATAAAGGGGCAACTTTGCCCATTTTGTGGTTATAAAGTCCACGACAGACGCAACCACCCTGAACAATGCCCGGTTTTGTACCAGCTTGCGTCACAATGGTTGCGAACTCACACGATCCAGGAAGCTCAAGGAAGTCTGCAGAACACACAGAAAGCCGGGGTGACAGCTGATGGACACAGTCCAGAGCAAAGCAAGACACAGTCTTTGCACCAGTTTTTTGGACACCGGCCTAAAACGCCTGCCTCAGACCGAGGTGTCGCAGTGCCGGCAACACATCCTTGTGCAACTCCTAGCAGCAACCACCGCACTGACGACCTAGGGGAGATAGGTCCAACCGCGACGTGGGCCAGTAAATTTCGTATCTTGACTAACTCGTGCAACGCATGCTACGCGAACTCGGTGTTTCAAGCTTTACTGGTAGTTGTGCTGCGTGGATATGACCTAGGGCAGCTACAGCCTGTCCTCACGCAGATTGGCTTGCCTGAGCTCCGCCCGCTGAATTTGTTTGGTCTTTTTGAATTTCGTCACCTGACGGTGGGATGGCGAATTGACGGGCGACAGCATGACGTGTCAGAATTTTTATCACATCTGTTGCAGGCGCCGTCAGGCTCACTTGACCCAGTACTATGGCAGGGTCGCACGGATGGGGAGGTAGATGACACAGAAACGGGATACTCGCCTATTATGCTGCCGATGCCTACACAAGACACCCTACAGGCCTGCATAGATGCATGGAGTGACGGTGCTATTCAAAGAGCTTTATGCTGGGCACCTGTGTGATACCTGTTGTATTAGGGAGATGGCAGGCAGGGGCCAAGAATCGCGCTCCAATTGTGTGGCAGGATCAGATAGCACTGCCAGTTTGGGCTGAAGGACAGGAGCGGACCATGAAACCGTATATAGCTATATCTGGTATCGCACATTTCGGTTCGACATTGACTGAAGGTCATTATCGTGCCTTTTGGCCGCAAAGGGCTACTGCTCAGCGGACACCTGCAGCACAGCAGGTCTACATCTGCGATGATTTCCGGCGCCCAGTACTGGCTACGGCCAGCGAAAAGGCCGGCCTGCAGAACGACGGCTACGTGTTTCTACTCAAGCGCAGGGATTGAATCCTGCATCTTTCTCTCCTCTTTTCTCTCTCTCTTTCCTCTCCTTTTCTTTGGATCAGCTGACTCTTTGTATGAATAGGTGCTGGCCCTCGGCCTGAGGGTAAGGGGGTGCCTGTGCGCGGGAAGACTGCAGTCGGCAACAGGCTGGCGCAGTCCGCCCCGCGTCAAGGCCAAACGTGTCACGCGCACGTGCAGGCCTGTTCACGGTTCAAGTTCAGACTTACATTTAGCCGTTTAGCCATGGCGTCACCGAAGAGCCCGGAGCAAAAGCGGTCCCGAACCCGGGAGCCTCACTCAGCTATGGAAGACGCTCCAGAGGCATCTGAAGAGGAATGATCGATCACTCGGACTACGGACTGGCAATTCTCTGCCTTCGCAGACTGCGCTCTTTACAGCAGCAGCGCCGAATGGGCCACCTCCGACAGGTGGAACAGGTGAGGTGCGCGGCGCTCGACGCGTCCAAGCCTTGAGCAACTTGGAGCTTACAACGGCTTTCTTGGTGCATGACGAACAAATCAGTCTGCTACAGCACCAACTGTCGCTGGTGTACAAGCTTCCAAGCGAGCTCGGCTTGTCACAAGTCTTGCAGAAGGCGGTGAAGGGATGGCAGAAGGCCCATAAACCGGGACAGCCTCACCCTGCTGGTTCATGCTCGGTTGCGGTTGCATCCAGCCTCCTGTCGGAGCTCACAAAGGGGCAACCCCCCGCCTCAACACACAGGCTCGGGTGGCTCGACCAATGAGCGTTACAACAACTTCATGGCCCTGGCTACTCGCTTGTCGGATCCGTCTTCGCATGCATCTTTGTCTCGCGAGATCACGCACTGCTCGGCTAGGCCAAATCTCAAAAAGACCCATCTCATCCTCGACTTGCGCATTGCCCTGTGTTCCGAGCTCATGCCATACTCCACTCTCTTTATGGAGGTTTTGGACACCTATGACGGTGAGTGGCTCGGCAAGAAGGCACCAGGAGGGCTGGCGCGCAAGGCCCGAGGGAAAGCGTAAGTCTGTTCACGCAGTGGATAAGAAGAGCGGCACAGCCGACCGATCTACCCTATGGGGATGGATGTGGCACAGCCGACTCTGGACACAAGTCGAGGAGGGCCTCCGCTCGTTTTCATATCATAGCCGAGCGCTCGTGCTCGCATGGACATAAGTCCGCAACAAGTTTGCAAGGCAAAGGCCGGCGTATAGACTCGCAGCCAATTCTCTTACATGAGTTCGAGAGCCGCGGGACAAACAAGTCAGTTTGCCAACTACTTTTCAAATTAGGCCAGCTTACACGTCAGCAAAGTTGCTCTTTTGCGGCTTAAGGGGTAACTTGCGCAATTGGACGCCTCAATCAATGGATCTCCTACCCCATCGCTGGTCGGAATTCCTGGCTCTCGCCAGGATCGTTGATGAGGCGCAAAAGCGCAAAGCTGCAGACATGGACACTTCATGCTCGTACAATGGTGCTTCAGCAGTGCACACGCTCCCCTCGGGTCGTGTGATCCCGCCGCAGCCTCCTGCTCCGAAGCAGCGACGCACCTCGGGGGGTAACTCCAAGCAGAACTATGACCAAGGTGAGCACTGAGGCCCGGCAATGTAGGCAATCTCTCATGCCGTTCAGGTGGCATGATGAATCGGAGTTCCGTCTTAGCACAGTTCCGCCAGCTATGTCAAAAAGAACAGAATGCATGGTGAAATAGGTGCACCGCGAGTGTAGAGCCAGAGCAAGACTTAATACGCCCAGTGCCTTGGCTTCAACATTACCAGGGGCACAGCCTAGTTGTGAGGGCACAGCCTTCAACATGGTTTCCATGGAAGTCCATGCGCGACTGGCCGAGCCCAGCATCCCGCAACTTCGACAGGAACCAAGCCCTCATGAAATCGGCAGTGCACTTCGGGCAGGCTTAGGACGAATGGTGGGCAAATAAGGAGCCACATCGCTGGTTTACCAGGTGGACGGATATCCTCAAATCGTGATCAAGAGTCCTAGTCGATCCAGTGAAGCCCATCACATTGCCAGAGAAGTTCTGCGACTCCAACAGCTCCCGAAACTGGCCGTCGTCAACAGCGTGGTGGCCTATGTGCCTCCTTGTGCCCTGATGATGAATCTCTATCCAGTCCACGTGCCGTACATGATCCAGCAGCACATCTTACGCTTCAAAGAGGACGTCAGTGCAGCTCTCCAACTACTTCACATCTTGAACATCGTACACGCCGGTGTCCACCTTGATAACGTGATGGTAAGGGAACGACCTGCTTCATACGTACTCATTGACATGGGCGGCTCAGCGGGCGAATGCATATACCCCATCAGTCAGGGATTTGGCTCTCCGGGAAGGGGGGGAGATCTCCATAGGCCACCTCATGAACTTCATGATCCTCCTAGGCGAACGATGCGGGGTGACTACTACCGCTTAGCGCAGACCATCGTGGTACAGATCATGAAGCACTCCGGCTGGAGAACTCTTTCAACCTCCTGCCCCAGATTGCCCAAACATGCCATGGCCGAGCTCACACAGTGGGTACAGGCTGCAAGCGAGGCACAGCCTGCCTGGCCTCGCACGCTCTTTCCGGGTGGCAGCTGGATGGAAACGGCGGTGGACGCCAAGATTGTTGTCCAGGCAGGATTGTGGACGATGAGCGGCTCTGTTAATACGCAGACGACAGAGTTTCTTGATCCCTCTGACCAAAGGGGCAATCAGGACGGAGTATTCATCTATGAGCCAGCTCAAGCTGACCCCACGAACTCTGGCAGCTGGGAGCAGTCGGCTGCCTTTGCAAAGTTCTACCTGAGCTGTGGCCTGCGCACCAAGGGCTCCCACATTCGGCGTGTCTACATGGGCGTCTACCCCTTCCTCAAGTACGGGAATCAGGATGGCTATTTGGAGCTTGAACTACCAGAGCATCCTCCCCCTCCCCCGGAAGCAGATGCCAGTCTTACCGCTGCTGCCTCGGTATCTTCAGCTACTGCGAGCCCGGCACCAAGACTCGCCCTCATGAACCGACATCGTAGCCCACCTCGCGGCATATGGGCGGAGCCGGAGGAGGAAGCAGATATGCTCCCGAGCGCGTAGCATCAGTCAATGCTTTCCTGCCTGCTCAGTTGGGGCTCCTAAGGCACAGCCTATCGACCGAAGGCGCAGCCTTTATTGCTCCTCAGCATGCGACAGCTGAGCCTGATCGGTAGATAGATGTAGCCTGCGTACGAGCATGGTCTTGTGATTATGCTCCTGCGCTTTTTTCATCGCACTGCTGGGATACCCCTGCGAAGGTAATAACGGAACAGAGACACTTGAGAGCATCCCTGTCTTGTCGTCATGCCTGCACATCTCTTGCCGTAGTCAGCAAGGCTTCAGCAGGTCCTCATGTAATCAGCAGCGCTGCACTGCCCTCATGGCGACTCGGGTCCTCGAGCTCCCGGCGGACATCTTCATCGACTACTACGAGGGCTCACTGCTCCTGGACTTTGTGATGCGGGTCTGCGACGTCTATGACATAACTCTGCCGCCTGCCATAAGCATGTACCCGAGGAATGATGTTGTTGGATGGGCGTTGGAGGCTCTTCCAGACCCCGGCAGGGTCTCCTTCCTGGCCTTCTTGGCCCAACTGGACGAAGCGAGGTCGACCATCAGCACCACGCACTTGCCGACAGCGTCGCAGAGGGGTCACCCCCTCCTGACTTGTGCCCCTTCGTTGCCTCGCGCAGCCATCGCCTCAGAAATTAAAGCGCATGCCTTCCTGATGACTCTTGTGCAAGATGAGCCAATTTCGCTCTGGGATGCGGTACGACAAGTGGCAGCGGACCTGCCGTTCGAGCACGGCTTCCAGAGCCAGCGAGGACTACGACAGGAACATCAATGTCACCTTGGAGCATATGTTCGGGCCACGCCGGGACTCTACAAGGACACGGTCACGCTTCAGCACGCAACGCGACTCATGAACTACCTTGTGGCTCTGTGCTCTCCGGAGCACACCTGGACAACTCTGACCATATGCTGCAACGCGGGAGAACGGCTGACTAGAGTAGAGAACGGCGGAGCTGACTACAGCTTTGTCTTGCAGCTTTCTTACGATGTTTCAGGTCAGCTGTGGGTAGAGAGATCGGGGGGCAATGTCTACCAGGAAATTCCGGGTGCCACACGAATGCGAGCAGGTATTATGTATTCTACACAAGGTCAGGCCTTGCTCCTGCCCACCCGAACAAATTGGCATGCCTTTCAGCCTTGTCGCCGGTTTAACCGAATTGTTTTGACAGCTTACACTGCTGAAGGATGGGAACGTTTCACTGCCGGTCTTCGAGATAGGCTGCTGTCGCTAGGGTTCAGGCTCCCCCCTTTCAGCAATCCCCCGACTCAGGCCATTTTGCCTCCGTGTCTTGGCTAGCCAGCTGCTTGAGGGGGGCACAGCCCACGGAGCTAAGGCACAGCCTACTAATACGCACCTGCAGAGACCGTTTGCGGCCTCAGCCCGAGCCCTGCGTCACAAAAAGCAAAGAGTTGCGAGCGGGGAGTACTTCACAGACTGTTTTTTGATACGGATCATGTTTGTGCGTTCTGATACTCGAGCTTCAATCTGCCTTGCCTGATAGGCCGGAATGCGACCAGACGCCTTTCTGGAATTCACAACGGATGGCTATACCGTGCGCCCTCGCGCGGTTATTGTGACTTCTCATTGAACCTGTGCCTGCCCTTGTGCTGCATCAGGAGGCTGACATGAGTCTACTCTGCATGATTGTGCTGTTATTCTTTTACTCAAGCGCAGAGAGGTGCCCACAGAAAGAGGCACTCATTCGTCACACACAACAGTCACCAGGCATTTTTTAACACGTATGCCAAAGCTTGCTCCTAGCTGCGTTGCAGAAAGGCGGGGGCACAGCCCACAAGACGCGACACAGTCGCTTGCAACATGGCCGCACCCGGGGCCACGTCTCGACCATTCTTGGTCTTGAGTGACAGTACCCTGCAGTTTTTACTGCGTGGGAAGTCCTATGGCATCTACCCCATCTTTGACGGCTATGTTCTCAGCTGCCCGGGAGCGGCGATGGCATTGAGCTCTTCAACGGTGCCGTCGATCCTGGAATTGCTGCACTGGCAGTTTGGGCAGACGATGGGAAGCCACGGGTTCAAGGCTCCGGTACAAAACACGGCCGTGGCTGACATGCTGCGGAACCACTCCGCCTCCACCTTGAACGTCAGGTTCATTCCCATTGAGAGGAGCCTTCTGCCGAAACGACAGGCTCCCTACGATTTCTTGGCCGAGGGCA